AAAAATAGGCTGTGTCGGTAGTAGTTTTCAGTAACTCCAATCTTCTGGCATCAGCTCAAAACACACATCACCTGCATGCACATTGCATGAATTCTCCATAAAACCAAAAGTTTTTTCTCCTGAAGTTGCCAATTATCATCCAAGCATTTTTGATTAACCATGGCTCTCTCACAGCTACATGATTTTTGTTTTTGTAGTTCTCCATACCAAAATCCCATCCTTATACCAATGGATTCGGATCCCTTCACTATTTTAGAACGAAATCTTTAACAAAACTAGTTATATCATAGTGAATTGTTGGTGCCGGGCTTATTTGTGAGCGGTAAAGATGGTTGTTTGTGAGTGCATTTTAAATCACAAATTTATGAAATGGAAATATAGTACAAAACCATAAAACCAAATAAGAAAATTAAAATAAGAAGCAGTAGAAAACGAAGATTAAATCCGAGGCAAGTGTATTCACTCTCTCCTTAAGACAATATTGCCCCGCTACGGTGCTCACGGTTGGCGGCAATTGTCTCCCAAGATACAACGGATTCGATTTGTGGTAGTAGCACTTCAAACCACAAATCCGGCGAACTTTCGACGGTGTTTCCCCTCTACAAGGAATATAATATATGAAAAGAGATGAAGAAGAAGAGAATTGCAATTTTGAGAAGAATGAATGCTCAATATGCAAATGGTGTACTCTCAAAGTCATCCAAGGGGTCCTTTATATAGAGAATGGAGTGGTGTGATGAAAGGATTTGAGCCAAACCATGCAACCTTCCAAACAGGTGCCACTATTCCAAAACCACAATTTCTCATTCATTTTTGAATTGGTTTATTAATAAACACCATTTCCAACAATCCCCCACATGAATGAAAATTCGAGTACATAAGTATCATGCAATGCAATGATGATGCATTATGCATTGTAGAGAGTAAGCGGAAAAACACTGTATCAGGTAAGGTAGCTTCTGGCTTTGAACCTCCCTTAGTGAAATACTATCGGACTTACTCGGCTAATTGGTGAACGTGATGTCTTGAACCATTCAGCCTTTGGTGTAAGCCAAGACAACAATACTCACACAGATGTCTTCCCTATTCCGTCGTTGTTCTCATGACTTGGTTCATTTTGGCCTTGAACCCTTCTTGGTTCTGCAAGTGTTTTGAGAATTTAAGCCTTTTAATAATTCTCATTGAAGCGGCCCCACTTCACACTTACATAGGTGACCTCCTATAAAGAGTATTCTGCCCTACTCCACTTGACTTAATCAAGATATAGGAATCATTAAAAGATTATCTTAACCTCTTCCAACTCTGCAGAAAGCACTTTGGTATCATAGGAATGAGTTAGGAAATTATTTCCTAAGTGCTTCATGGAATCCTCATAACTTAGTTGTCCCTTTGAACCAAGATCTTGGGATCTCCAGTCAACAAGGTAGGATTACCATTACAAGGACTCTAACGTAGTAGGCTTTACCTCATTCCCTTCGATATGCAGTATTCTTGATCTCTCCTAGTAAATCTCTTTAAAGGTAC